AGACCGTGCATTGCCTCTTCCGCAAACAGTTCGTAGTGTAGACATAGCCAAGGTGTATTACGGTAGCGCCTAAGGGTCCCACTGGCTACGTCTGGACTGGCATGATTTTCCAGAAATGCTTTTAACAGAAAAGTTTTCCGTTAAAAGCATTTTCGGAAGAGAGCGTCTAGATTGGCACGGACGCTATTCCACAAAAGCACTTTTTGCTTCGTCCGTGGCCAATCTAGACGCGCTTTTTCACAAAAAAGCCCCGATTGCCATTTTCGCGATCGGGGCTTTTTTGCGCAAAACAAATCTGAGCTGTCTACACTGGCCCTTTTGCACAAAAGTTTTGCGCAAAAGGGACTTTTGCCCGAACGGGAGCAGCGTAGTATTTCCGCAAGAAGCACTGATTTCTTACAGTAGGAAGTCAGTGCTTTTGCGGAAATTCAAGCGCCAAGTGTAGACAGCTGGCAAGTTTTTCCGCAAAAGTGGCTGATTTTCCGGAAAAACTGGCCAGTCTAGACACAGCCCTGGAGAAGGAGCCCAATGTGTTAGGTGCTGTACAGACACCAAGCAAAGAGAAAGCCTGTGACGTAGTGGGGGTACCTGGCTGGTTTCTATGCTGCTGGCTCTGGGGTAACCCCCACTGGCTGCCGTGGGTACCACGACCCAGCAAAACAGGATGAGTCACTGTGCAAACCAGTATGGCCAGACACCCCCCATGGAGAGGAACAAAGGAAGGTGGATGCTGCCCTGGCTGGGGGGCAGGGCTGGAAGAGGGTTAGTTAGTTGCTGGCTGGGAGCATGGAGGAGACAGCCTAGGGAAAGGGGCTGGAGTTTAGGGGCCCAGTCTCCCCCCATCTCAAGGGGGCCTGAGGCATCCTAGCCCAGCTCTGTGACCAGAATACATCTGTGCTGTATTGTATCTTGGAGAGGCAATAAACTTCCTCTATTCCACCGGCTGGTGCAGTCTGTTTGTGCCATTTCGGGGTGCAGGAGACGGGGCACACCCAACGCGCCGTCACAAAGCCCCTGTGCCAAGGGACCAGCAAGGGGTGTCTCAGACAAAAGACAACAGCTGGCTATATGGGGGCTGGCTGGAGAGTACAAGGAAACAGTGACACAGCATCAGCCAGCGGGGTAGGCTGGGACTGAACAGGCAGCATCAGAACTCCTGGGTTACCTGGGGCAAACTGATTCTCTTCCCTAGCTCCTAATTTATCCATAAGCAAAATGGGGATAACACTACTGGCCCCCTCCCAGGAGATCCTGGGGCTACAGAAATGCAAAGGATGACAGCGTCGAAAAGTTTCATTTCAACTTTCATAATCTAATTCAGCATTGCCAATAACACAGAAATATATCTCGGACAAGGGGGGGAGTGTTAGTCTGTAACTTTAAAAACAGTGAGTGGTCCTGAAGCACCTTCGAGACGAACCAAAATATACACAATCATGAGCTTTCGTGGGCAAAACCCACTTCCTCAGATGAAATATATGTTTATATACACACCATACTATATAATAATAAACAATATGAATTCATGAATGCAATCTTCATATTTTAGTATAATATAAAGGTGTTTCAATGTCTAGGAAGCTGCTTTTCTTTTCTTTTTTTTTTTTTTTTGACAGCAAACCCCTCTGATGAAACTTTTTTTCTACCGTTGGCCTGAGTCCAGGGCTCCCCTGTTCTGCCCTATTTTCAAGGGTTACTGGGTATGGGAGTAATGCTGGCCCGTTGCATTAGAGGAAACGTTAGCCTCACATACCACGTGAGCCTCATGGACACGTGGCCTCATTTTGATATTTTGCTGGAATCCTTGATGTTGCTGGTGCATGTGTAGTCAGAGTGTCAGACCGGCCAGGTGTGCAGGAAGAGCTAGGGGTAGGTACCCCAGTTCAGGTACACGTGACCACGGAGAACACTTTGTCGGCCACGCTGGCGTACAACAGGGTGCAAGATCAGATTGTTCCTAAATTCCATGGTCAACGTAACCACTTCTGTGGCAGCACTCGTCAAAGTGACACCCCCACCGGCCCATGTACAGGCGGCCTGGGCCTCCCCATCTCTTCAGAAGGCGGAGGGCTGCCAGGGGACAGTGAACAGCCTGTACAGCAGCGTGAGCCACTCCTGATCTGGCTGCTTTGCTCCGGGATAGGATAGCCCCAAATCTCGAACTCTGCACCGCCAATTCCCGAGTCCCACCAGTGTGAGGAGAACACAGTGGCTAGCGCCACATGCAGGGGCAGAGCCATGCAGCGTGGAATTAATTCACCGCTATGTCGAGCCGCTGCATCTGCCCTGGTACTGCAACCTCTCCTAGGCAGCTAGGGCCTGCATCTCCTCTTGAGGCTTGGCTCTACTGAGGTCACTTTGACTCCCTCCCCTCTGCCACACGGTGCCCCGGCACAAGCTATGCCTTGGGCTCTTGGACCATACTTACAGCTCCTCCAGGAAGCGCAGGTGGTGGAACGCGCTGGGCTGCAGCTTGCTAATGTTGTTCATGCTCAGATCTCTAAAGGGGAAGAAAGACACAAGTCTCTGGTCAGGTACTTTTGGTGGCTTGCACCGCGCAAACCCCTCCCCCCGCGACCAGCTTGGCGTGGCGCCAGGCTCTGGGGAGGGCAGATACGCCTGTGATCTCACACGGCAAGTGAAAATAAACTCCCTGGCTCTGAAATGTGAGTGCACAAAGCAGGGGGAGAGATGCAATCGAAGTAATTCATGCTATGCTCTCCCACAGCATTTCAAGCATCAGCCGGTTGACGTCGCTTCCTATCAGCCTCGTAAACGTCCCGAGGCCATTTCCACTTGGGGAAACTGAGGCAATGAGTGGGTTGGCATATTATTGCTTTAGACTCTTTCTGCATTGCTCCCTTCCAGGGGATCTTGTCCAGAGGCAGCACATACCTGCCTGCAGAGGGATGCCTGGAGGATGGGAGCCTCGGGGCTGGGGCAGCCTTTTTCACCTGCCTGGTGATTGTCTCTTTTCTGTGTGGTTTCATGAGACGCAATCCCATTCCAGGCACAACCCTAACCCTGACCTTGCTTTCTATTATGCTAAGAGGAAGCTGCAGTGGGAATTTGGTGGCCCTAGCTCGTACTGTTCAGAGGAGTTCTTGAACAAACAGACAAACAAACAGACAAACTCTCTCAAATCTCTCTCTCGATATATATAAAAAAGTTTTTCCTACTGCGGGACAGAATGACGTCATCACGCTCTCTGGCTGCAAAAGCTGCCAGAAAGAGGAGGTTTGGCGAGTGTAGCGAGCAGCGGTGGCAGCTCCCTAGTAGTAGATAAAAGTGAAATTCTACCAAGCCTAGTTATTCAGAAAAAAACTGTTTAGATTCAGGCTCTCTCTAGTTCTGCGGCCTCTGGCTGAGGCCACATATAGTACCTATTTAATATCGGACACGCTCACTCTCGGGAGAACAGATACTACACTGGAAAGTACCAGACTGACTGACTTCCATCTCAAAACCTTTATAATATACTAGCCCAGCACGTGCCCGAATATATAATTAACGGTACCAAAACAGTGTTTTGCTCTTCCACAGAGCAAGCGTAAATCTGTAGCTAAAACTCTCCATCAGGAGTTCCTAGGTAGTCAGGTGCAGTAAAAAGCTCTCTGGGTGGTAAAATTCTTCCTAAGGCTGAGACGTGTCAATCCAACATGTGAAATCGGGTGTGAGCGTGGCTGCTGTGTGGTACAAGTTTCACAACTTCCACTCAGCGTCTCTAAATACCAGGGGCGCGTTCCCAGGAATTCTCACCCTCTATAAGCAGGAGGCGGCGCAAAATGAGAACAAATGGCTCAATACTATTGCAGAAATGGAAATATTCCCCCCGCACCACCCCTCAAACACACACCCCAGAGCAAAACCCGGCTGTTACAGACCCGCTTTTACTCATGCGATTCCCCAGCACATCCCACCAAGTCAATAAGCCTCCGTAAGGATTCGCCCACTGATGTTAATAGCCATTTCTCCCGAGGAATGTCCAATAATGACGTTGTGACAGTCTCCTGTCAGGAAATCTATGGAGTTAGCAGGGACTGAAGAAGGGAACAGGTTGTGTAAGCCTGTCCTGGAGGGAGGGAAGATCCACTTCCCAGTTTCCAGAGCCATTCCAACCCATACCCACAGCTGTGCATAGCAGCTAGGCTGAGACGTAACCGTGGCGGTGTAGGAAAGATCCCACAATACTCCAGTGTACAACTGGAGCAGGTCTGTGATAACTGGCAGCTTGACCTACACACGGGCATAACAACTAGGCACATCCAGAGCTAAAAGCAGAAGCTCCTACAGCTTGAAGCAAAGAGTCAAGGCTCCCTCTCCAGGTAGCCACAGACTCACATCCCCTGTGGATCGGGTACACGCTCCCCAGTAGGTTACACAGCAAAGGAGTGGGCAGAACAGTCTAAAAATGTCCATCAACACTTTTTTCGATGGAATGCTAGATCTTCGACTAAATACTTTTTGGGGGATTGGGGGAAGGATTTCTCTTTGGGAAACTGAACAGTCTTTGATTTTCAGCCAAAATTGTGTAGATTTCAGATGAAAACTGCCCTAAAAAGGCTGAAACTGAAAAATATTTAGGTTTTGGACAAATTTCAGGTTTTGGATGAAAAAAAAAAATAAAAAAGTTTCCCCTTCATAAAGTTTTTCCATGTTTTAGACACAGTCTTGGTACGTGTGAAGAGCAGCTGGGGGATTTGGGGCAGGCCGGAGAAGGAGGTCTATCTGGAGTTTCCCCTATGGGTGGGGCTCATTGGACCATTCGTTGCTGGGGCATTCTTGCTTTTGTTTATTATTTGGACTAGAACAGTGTCATTGTGCTGGGCGCTGTACAAGTCCAGGGGGAGAGAGCCTGGCAGAGCTTACTTTTTAAATGGACAAGAGAGACAAACAGTAGGCACAATGAGGTAAAGTGATTTGCCCAAGGCCACACGGTGGGTCAGTGGCAGAGCAAGAAATAGGCTCCTGGTCCCATCAGCTAGACCATGCTCCATTGACATCCATGGACTTACAGAATCTGGCCTCACTGTGATTTCAGCAGAAGTGCTAGAGACTGGCTCCTATCACCGAGGTACCTGGTGACATGCTGCGGCCCAGCTCCCTTCCCCCCTCTAGTGCTTAAGCTACGGTCTCTTCATACAGCACCTTAAATAAAGTCTGAAATCATCTCTTTGGCCCCAGCCCATCTAGTCTGGCTCTAAACCAAAGCGCTGCCATTTGAGTGACACGCATTCCTGGAATTTCGAGCTCCGTCTCCCTGTACAGGAACCGTCCCTCCCCCAACCCTGCGCCTTTGAAGGCCGATCCCAAATGCTTTCGCATTCCCTCGCGCTTTCCAGCGGCAGCGTGCCACGGGAGACTCCTGCCAATCCCCGAGAGCGCCGCTCGCCTTCCCTCGGGTGCTTGCGTTGAGCAAGATTTCAGGAACCCTCGTTCGAAATGTTTACCTCACGCGCTCCCAACTTGTGTACACAGGAAAATGGGGCCGTGGTTCATGGCAGCAGGATCCACAGAGCCCCAGGTCTCATAACTCACCACCTGGCCCTCCAGGGCAACTTAATACATTCACTTTGATGTCACTCTCCTTTCACAACCAGCTCCCTTCACCATGAGCAGGCAAACTGGTTTTCTCTACCAGAGAGGCAGAAAGAAACCAGAAGCTGCTACTCTCCACCAGGCCAATACCTCCCCTTCCCATGCGCCTGCTAAGACCATGGACAGGGCCGGATTAAGGCATGGGCTAGCCAGGCAGCTGCCCGGGGCACCAACCTATGATGGCAGCTGTAAGGGGCACACGGCGCCCCTTATAGCTGCCATCAGGCACCGTGTGCCCGGCTCCCGGATCACGGCAGCAGCTCCCAGCAGCCAACCTGCAGCGGCCACCCTGCAGCGGCCACCCGGAGTGGGGGCCGCGGTAACCCCGCAGCGCCGGCTTGCAGCACACTTCCCCCCATGGCTGCAGGGCCCTGTATGGCCAGGCTCGGCTCAGTCCGCCCCGGGCGGCCCCGGGCTGCGCACCAGTGGCAGTAGCCAGGCTAGGCCAGGCCGGGCACGTGCATCCTGCCACCACCAGCTCTGTGCACCCTCCCCCACATGCTGGGTGGGGGCCGGGCCGGGCATGTGCCCTCCCCCAACCCGGGGTGCAATTAAACTGCCTGCCCGGGGCGCCGGAATGGCTCGGTCCAGCCCTGGGTCCATGGCCAATGGGCAGGGGCTGTTCCTACCAGGCAGACACCACGGTTGTTTAAAGCAGATGCCATCAGCCTGGCAGGGCAAAGGGATTTTGTGCATTGGCGTGAGTTTCCTCAGTTTACCAGGATCTCCAGCAAAGGGTGAATTCCTGCAGCAGCTCTAGCGCTCTGAGTGGCAGCGCTGGAGGCAGGCAGACGCGAGGCGCGTGGGACAGGAGGCTGAAGGATAAAACTGGGCACGAGAGACCAACTCTGAAGCCAAATCTCTGCCGCCACCCATCAACTTGGCCCCCCAGTGTTCAAAGAATTACAGTGTGAGGACCTGCAAATATGAAGTACACGTCCACCGCACCCACCCACCACGTCTGTCCTGGGGCTTCCCTAAAGGCCTGTCACCTTTGTAGAACGGCGCAGGGGCAAACCTGGGCCCGGGCTTCCCCTGGGAGGCTACCTCCCCAGGGCAGAGTTTGGCAGGGCTCAGGAGCGGCAGCTCGGCCTCGGGGTTCAGCCCAACTTTGGGGGCCTCGCAGGTTTGACGTTGTTATGGGATGAGGCAGCCAGAGCTGGGCAGTGCCTGGCAATGGGCTCAGCGCGACGAGGGGCAAGGGAATTGGGAAAACCCGGCATGTGGGGAGCAAACCCCGTCTTTACCCAGCACCTCAGAGCAGAGAGCCTGCCCCCCACCCCGCCCCATCGCCCCTCCTCCGCACCAGCCCCGGCCTCAGCTCACGCCCACTGACTGGCCTCCCAGCCTCCCTTGTGTCTCCTGATCCCGGGCACGGTTCTAGCTCCACCCTACTCCTGACCCAGCCCCCCATCCAAGGCTCCTTTCTCCATCCTGCCCCGATGTCCCCAGCACTTTTAAGTCCGGTTGGGGCTGTCTAGGCCAGTGCAGACCGTCGAGACGGCTGGAGCTCTGGCACCCGACATCTCGGCGTGAGGTAGGGGGGCAGGCGCAGGCCATTGCAACATCCCACAGCATCCGTGCTACTCTGGGTGCCGGTGGGAAGTCAGCTCTGCAGGGCCACGACTGTCCCATGCGAGCAAGGGGGCAGAGAAGGGGCAGAGGAGAAGAGGCGGAGCCTGGAGTCAGCCCCGCCCCCTTCATGTGGGCAGAGCTGGCAGAACATGGGACTAAAGTAAACCAAAGAAAACCAGATGAGGCAGTTAACCAAGCCTGGTGATTTTGCCTGGTGCTTTGTTTCTAATGAGACCATCTGCCGGAAGAAACCTCCACTTCTGCTGTTCCTGGGAGGGAGGCGGTGTCCAGTGTAAATGCCCGAGGTCCGGGTTCACGAGATCATGC